TTATCTTTTACACAACTGTTTCTTTACAGATACCGACGCAGCTCACACTAGTTTACCGCTAGTTCCCCCCATTTTGCAAATGTCTTTGTAAAACTCTTTCCCTTCCCTTGTTTAGTTAAAATAAAATGCTCATTTTACTTTTGTTTTCAAAAATCTTATAACTGCACCTTTAGCTTACTGAGAGATATTGTCCCTTGCATTTTGCAGAAGCTATAGAGACAGTCTGCAGTTTTTGAAATTTGAATAGGAAAAAACCGTTATAATGACTTACACAAGTGTTCTATGAATTATATAAATAGGCATTAAATGATGTATTGCTAAATTCTCCTTTGTATCCTACCACTTTGTGAGGGACAAGAGGCCCAACAGTGAAAGGCTGCGAAGGAGACTAGTTTTGTTGCAAAGCTATTTAAGTCAATCAGAAAGAGAATTTCCTTAGTTTGTAATTTTAGAAACAATCTCTTTCAAGATTAATTAAAATCAATTAAATTTAATTAAAATTAAAATTAAATTTAATTGAAATTAAAATTAAATTTAATTAAAATTTAAACTTGCGACACAGAACAGAATTCGATATTGGCCAACATTTGTGAGCGGTTTGGAATGATCCCAATACTGCGCTTCTCGATTACACGCGTCTCACAGAACAATTTGTTCTATTGCAAACTCGTTTTTCGTCGAGTATGTTACCACGACGACACTCAGTCCAGTCTACGGTCGTGAAGTATTTTTGGCGGGAAAATACCAGCTCGACATCGCTCGACGAAGATCGAACGCGAAAATGACAAAAGCATATTCATATTCGATGAGATGGAGGGTAATATTTTTAATACGAGAAGGTCTTTACGATTACGCGTGTAATCGAGAAGCGCAGTAAATGTCAAAATGCGTTTTTTGCTTAAACGTGTATTGTCCACACACTACTCGCGGACTACTCACAAATTTTTTTTTGTGAAACTCCTTCAGGAAAGCTGAACATATGACAAAAAACTCCTAGAGATGACGACTAGGACCGTCCAAAGTTATTACAGAAAATTCTCCCTTAGTGCGAAGTCTTTCAGCAATTGGTTTCTGTGTTTACTTTAGATCAAATGACTAAATATATTTTTGATTTAATCAATCAATCAATCAATCAATAAAGCATTTACATGTCAGGATTTTAAAGGAATTGTAGTCAGCTAAATCGATTGCTAGTGGCGAAAACGTAAAACGAATTGAGGTGCTCCTACAGTCACTGTTTAAAATCCTCTTTAATATATTGATCAGTTGAATTTATGTATTTTTTTGTTAATCTAAAATCTCTTCTTTTTTTCTCATGCTTTGATCTAGTACTTGTTCCTTCCGTTGGGATAATTATTTCGGAAAGACTTGAATACTAGACCACTTCTGAGATCTCCAATGCTTCGGATATTTGTTTTTCAGTTGAAAAACAGTTTCAGAGTTTGAACAATAAAGCCATAAAATTGTTTGTCATACATCATATGATTACAGTGAATTTAACTTTCATAAATAAACTTCGTGTGATTTCGTTTTGTAAAACATCTGGTATTAGCAGACGTCCAATAACTTTTTACCGTTATACACGCACTTTGGACTAAAAATCACTTGAATGTGTCATACTTCGAACATTCTAAGCATCCCTTGTTACTGAGAAGGAACATGTCGTTTTTGCTTAGGCTATTAATTTTTGCCATGTTTCTCTTGAATGGAGCACAACTTAGCTCTTGTCATTCGGCTTACCCTCCAAACTACGACAGGGAAAAGGGTATTTTGTTCGACTTTTTTCCTGCTCAAAAGCGTACACTTCCAAAGCGAACAATGAARAAGACCAAGTATGTCAAAGATAATATGGACTGCGTGTTCGAATGCATGGGTGTCCATTGGTGCCGTTCGATCAATTTTAAAATCGCCTCTCGTGCGAACGGTCTCCACGCCTGTCAACTGCTTTCATCTGAACAGTTCTCTGGGAAAAAGTACATGGGACCTAACGAGGCATACAATCATTATAGTGTGAAGGTATGAAAATACATCAACATCACAGTTTCTGAGTTATAATAGATTCGAATCTATAAGTGATATTTCGTGATATTTTTTGGCTCAAAAGCGATTTTAGTGAAAATACATAGCATATTGTAAAATTCATTGACAATTTCTAAGGAGCTAAGCCAATAAAATTGCTGTTTTGGCATCACATGATTAGCTAAGCTCTGCAAATTCCAATACAGCACAACTGTCTTAAAGCACTTCGAGTGATTGGAAAAGCAGCAGGGAAAAGATGAGGTTGATGAAGAAATTAAAGAATTGTTATGTGAATTATTTACAATAACTATTTTTCCTAGTCTTCGGGAATATTTAAATCTGCCAAAATTTCGTCTGTTATTCCGTCGTCAAATAAATCCAATAACTTCAATTTTACTTTCTTCATTAGAGCTACATGTATTTTAGTAGAAGTAGCGATCGAATAAAATGCTTTCGACATTCTGAGCACAAACTCTGATTTTTTCCAAATATAGCGTAAATAATTCTTGCAAAAAGGGGGAATGACTTTCACCTATGTCGTCGCGGCATGACACATGTGCTTTACAAATCTTGATTTGCGCTTTAAATCAGAAAAACCACGATGAAAAGTTTTCGAAATTCTCTCGTCAAAAATAATGAAACTATACGTTCAACACTGATTTTAGAAATACGAAGTAATCATTGCTCATTTGCTCTCAAACCAAATATATTTTCACAATAATATTAATATTTATAGTATGCAATAGATACTTAGCTGAACTTTTTTCTAACAGTCACTTTATCTGATTTCTTCCTCTGCTGTGATTTCATCCCTCTCTTCTTTTTTAGTCTTTAGGTCAATATCACTTTTAGTTGAACCACGCATTCCTCTATTAMTATCTTTGCGGAACAACATAAACCTAAGAATAAAATAAGAATATAAAGAATATATCTTTGATGACTTTTTGAAAATAAGGAAAAATCAACCGTATGAAAGAAATGACTAACCTTTGGTCATCCCTTGCAAATGGTTCATGGCCTGTCTTGTCATCGCAAGCTAACAAATACTYTTTCTTAGAAGAATAACTTTCACCCTTTTGGTTTGAAACCCYAAATCTTTTGTATAAATCGACTTAACCATACATGCAGCGTTCCAGCAGACATACCCTCTATCCTCGCGTGTCCAATTCTAAATTTTGTGATATCTATAGATAACGAAGCCGAAGAGAACGCTTTGGCAATTTTATCGGCTTTATTTAACTGCCATTCTTTGAAAAGAAATCTCGACGTATAACATTACGAAATCATGATATAATTTTAACTATTACATTCTTGTATTAGAATCCATGCCAAGAAACTCCATGTCGTAATGGTGGCAAGTGCTTCTTCCAGGAAAACAGGCAGCATTATGACTGTCAATGCAATGAGGGATTTGATGGAGAACACTGCGAGAAAGGTAGTATAATAGAGATGACTTCGCAAATATATGTCACTTGCATTTTCATTTTTACCTTGGTGCTGGAATAAATGGAGCTGGTGCAGTAAATCTGAACGAAAAATGGTGAAAAAAAACCCAGCCATTTCGGTGTCCATGTAACATCAGAAACTAGTGAGTAATTTTTTTCTCGATGTATACACGAATGTGAACGCTGTGATAAACCACAAACTAAGGCTTTTAGCTTAGATCAATAGCCTTGGAGCTCATAAATGTGAAACAAAATAATAAACATTATTTGGATTTTTTCACTCATTAACCAATACTCGATATCCCACCAACATTATCCTATCTGATATTTGTCTAAACCATACTAGTTCATGGTAAATGGTCCGATTGGACGCCATGGATCGGTTGCACTTCGATGTAAAGGCACGGCTACCTTTCAAGATGGCACAGATAACCGTTGAGGAGACTATTCTTGAAAAAAAGAACTCAACTCATATTTCTGTTTCCTCCTTACTTTTTTGGGATATCGCAAATACCATCTAAATTTGAAATGTTTCCTCACTTAGGAAGATGCAATGACGCACTTGGCATGGAAAGCAACGCAATCCCTGATTCAAAAATAACCGCTTCGTCGTATTCAGCAAGCTATCTCCCATCTTATGCCAGACTGAATGCAGCCCTTGGTAATGGTGGATGGACAGCTAATCCTAATACACTAGGAGATTGGATACAAGTTGACCTGAGCAAAGTAACCAGAATTACAGCTATTGCGACACAAGGCCGTCAAGGTTCCTCCTACTGGGTTAAAACGTACAGTTTGCAGTACAGCGACGATGGAACTAACTTCAAAGACTATGAAGGGGGAAAGACTTTACCTGGAAATTCTGAAGGATCAACAGTTGTCAAAACCAACCTTGATCCTGCTATAGCTGCCAGGTATATCAGACTTCTACCAAAGACATACCATAACCACATGATACTTAGAATGGAACTTTATGGATGCCAAATATAAAATCTTAGTATTTTGAACAGTCCATGCACTGGAAAAAATCGCGCGCTTTTTAAACCTTTAAAAAGGTTGTACATTTGATGTAGATATATGATGTAAGTGTCCAAAATTCTGTAAATCATTCACATCACTGAAATTGTTTTTGAATTTTGGACACTTACATCATATTCACATCAAATTTACAACCTATAAAGCGCGCGATTTGTTTTCAGTGCTAATGCTTGCACTACTTCCTATATGCAATCTGCTAGTCACAATACACCATTAAATGTCTTTCTTGTCAATGAATAGGTTTACTCTTTTGAAGACAAGCTATGTACTGCCATGTATACATGTAAATTGAACTGTTAGACATGATTGCATATGCAATAAGTGCAAATGATTTGTTTACAATAAGTTACGGGATATTATAAGTGAAAACTAGTTGCATGATTTTTATGAAATTTACGCTATATTTTATCGTTAGAGCAATGGTCGGTATTCTTTAAGATAATACTATACCAAGTTCTTTTTTATATATGTTAAAGCTAATTAGTGTTACTATATAATGTACCACTTTATCAATTACCACTTTATTATATTCATTTTGAAATCCTAATAAAAAGCCGAAATTAACTGACTTATGAAACCGGAACCGGAAAGTCTTTTACATCTCATGTAATTTCACTTCGAGGAAAACTGCGAACTTGACATGTTCAAGTTTTATTTCAGTTTGAGTCCTCATAAGATTAAATTATGCAGGGCCTCTCTTTCGTCTGTTGTAAAGATGATCTAAGAATTGTTTCAGGATCTCTGAGATGGATATTTTAACGTGTCTTTATCGACAAATTTAAGAAAGCTGTCATCGGCGAGAAAGACAAACGATGCCATGTGATTTTGAGAATTTCCTCGCCCTCACAATCCTTACGTTGTTGCCTTTCTCCTTCAAAGAGCGGTCAAAGACACTTTGTATGTGGTTGGATTGGTAATTGTCAACTTTTTGAGTTCTTACTCTAGCATAGAACTGACAGAAAATGTTGTCAAAGTTGTACGTGCTTGAAAAAAATCAAGATGGCGGCTCGTGACGAGGACATTCATCCACTTTTGTTGCTGGCTTTGTTCTTATTAGTGACATAAAGCCTAGGGATGTCTGCATAATTTATAAGCACTGGAAATCTTCATTCATAGATGGAATCGAATTGTTTGTTGCAGTTGCAAATTCTGCAACAAGAATGCATCCCTTGCATTGGATTTGGTGGACATTTTAGACATTTTTGGACTCAAAATAACACTTTAGTCAGATATTGAAAGTATCAAATGATGAAAAATCGCACTGAGGTAGTACATTGTCATCTAAAAACTGTATGTAAGAACTGAAATAATCCAATTTGCTTCTATTTTGCATTAAAAATTTGCTRCAAAATTTARAACAAATGTACATTGTGTGTCCTTGATTGGTTGACTACAAACAATCCTGTAATCTGATTGGTTACTTTCCATTAGTTTTCCATTGTGATTGGATGACAAAATGATGGATTGCAGACTCAAAATAGTGCGATTCGGACTCAAAATAGTCGTGCTAGAATCAATCTACTGAGAGCCAATCAGATTGCAGGATTTGCTAGTAATTTCAAAATGAATATAATAAAGCTTGAAATGTAAAGTGCACACTTAAAGAGCCGTTGTGATATACCACGTTAAAACGTGCCTATGACGCCCGACAAAATTATGTTTCTCTGTTAGCTGATTCTATATAAAATAAAGAATTAAATGGTGAAGTATTTCTGCATTTCACTGCTATGCTGCGTCTTTTTAGTTATGAAGGTTCAATCTTACAATATGTTAATGAAAATGACGTCAAAGAAGACTTCATTAGATATACGAACTTTGAAACAGTCGCTCAAAAATAAACCAATCAGATAGCATCGCAACTTCATAGTTATATGATCGTAAAATAGCTGCGGGGATCTCATATTTTGTAAACATTTGCATTGCCATAATCATCAATAAGGTAGTTATATGGGAGATTATCATGGGAGCTTTTATTTGACGCTTTTCAGTTTCAATTAGCTCGTTTCTCAGTTGTCAGCCACAAATTCTATCAGTACGTTTTCTACAAGAAAAGTACCTCATTGCTATGCTATAATTTCAGCTTCAGTAACGAGAAGGAAAGATAAGTGCTCTTCCGTTAATTTATTGAATTGATTTCTTTAATTGTCAATAATGTAATAGATCAAGTCTTGAAAAATAAATAAATAGAAATAGATAAATGACTTCGTATTATATGGGTGTTTTGAAAAAGCCTAAACACGTTTGTCATGCTACACGCTAAAAAATTAATAGAAAGAAACTGGTTTAGTCTACATAAAGACTTTTGAAATAAAGTATTTTCATATGTTTTATTTTAAGCGATTTGAAATGCAATTTTTGCATCGGACTATGATGACGTCAAATTATTCAACTCAGAGTCACTTTTAGCAACAGTATAAAAATTTAACAAAACCTGATTCAGAACACAGCTACAATAGATTGCGTAGCGACTCTTGGAAGAGTAAATCGTAAGGGGGGGGGGGGGGGGGGGGGGGGGGGAGACGGGTTGGGGAGAACTTTTCGCTACCACAAATGACTATTTACAATAAATATAGACGGACGCATAAGTGTAAAAGTATAGTTTCTATTTTTGATTCGGACAATAAACGAAATTTAAAATCTAATACAAATTGTACTTTGTGTGGCAGATATTCAAAGCATTAATTTCGTATACCTGCTCAATATTTTCTAAAGAAAAAGGAGGCAAATGGAAAATCCTAGGAATAATACCATATTCAAAAGCACGAACTTTATTTTTATTGAGCTTTATTCTATGCTAACTTTTTTTCATAGATATGATTATTCTCATGGCTTGCATGAAGGAACTTATAAATAGACTGGTTATGTCCTATATATCGTGGGCTCCTTTAATCACATAATTGTAATATTACTGCAAGCTACAGATCTAGATCTCAGAGATATATATTAGATAGACCGTAGCGACGCAGAACATGATTTGAAATTGTCCATCGTTTTTAATAAACGGTTTGGAATGATCCCAATTTCAAAGTGCTGACAGTTGATATCTACGACGTTTAAATTGCAAAATTTACAAGTGTTCACCCTGATATTGAGCACATATATTTTTGCACTTCCTCTCTGGAAATGTGTGTTGTTGTTGTTGTTTTTTTTTGCTAAAACATATATAGTCCACGCACTACTTGCAAGATAACTTTGTGAAAGTTTTCTCAGAAAGAATAACATAAGAAAACGGCCGCCTTCTAGGTTTGGCGAATAGGAGGTCCAGAAATACGGAAAAATTCTTCCCCCTTAGTGCGAAGTCTCTCCGTAATTGGTTACTGTTTGCTTTAGAACAAATGACTACATTTTTCACCTGTTAGGCTTCTTAAGGAATTACAGTCAGCTACGTCAAACACGTATCAACAATTGAGGTGCATTTTTTAAMTTTTTGAGGARTTCAAAAGAGGTAGACTGCAGGTTGTCTAACCCTTCTCTAATACCAGTTAATTTTTTTTCAATTATTTTTTAGAAAGCTTTTCTTTTTTCTCATGCTTYGATGTAGTACTTGATCCTTTCGTTTACAATTATTTTGGAACTAGACTTGAATACTAAGACCACTTCTGAGATCTTCAATGCTAAATTAATTTGTTTTTCAATTGTAGAACAATATCAATGTTTATACAATGCGATGGTTGGTAAAGTAATCCACTTTCTTGATAGCACAAAACGTCTGACATACATCTAATTACGAAAATGTTGTCCTGAGTTTTAGAAAATTAGGAATACATTAAAAGACAAAAAAGATGCACGCACTGAACCTGAACAATTTCTTTTGCATATAATTAATTTTTTAATAGTAAATTCCCTTTCTTGGACAACGTTTGTATAATTAGGTGTATATTTACTATATAAAATTCATTAAAAGACGCCAAAGTTCATTTATGRCAGTTTATAAACGGTGTGAGAGTGACATTGTACATTTTAAATTAATTTTAAATTTAACTTCGCTCCGTACATCAAAATAAAATCACAGTCATCTTATTACTTTTCTAATGGATGAATCTGTCGGATATCACTTTGACGCACAAATCATTCCGACCTAAAATCAATTGTACAAGACCCACTTGGACCATTTCAAACTGCATCCTGGAAAACGTTGAAGATGTCKTCTTTGTTCGCGCTAATAAGCTTTATGTTGAGTCTAGCAGACTACAGTTCTTGTCATTCGGCTTACCCTCCAAACTACGACAGAGAAAAGGGTCTTCTTTTCGACTTTTTTCCTGGCCAAAACCTTACCCTTCCAAAGGGAGCAATGAAGAAAACCAAGTATGTCAAAGATAACATGGACTGCGTGTTCGMATGCATGGGTGTCCATTGGTGCCGYTCRATCAATTTTAAAATCGCACCTCGGTCGAACGGTCTCCACGCTTGTCAACTAATTCCAACCGAACAGTTCTCTGGGAAACAGTACATGGTTCCTAGCAAGGCGTACAACCATTATAGTGTGAAGGTATGAAAACACTCTTCAAAWTCAGTTTCTGAGTTATAATTGATTCATGTATTAGTGATATTTCGTGTCTTGGATTCAAAAGCAACATTTACTTTAAATATAGATGTATAGTTTACAACATGAGCGGCCGTGTTGTATGGGAATTACAATCTCGAGCCGCAGGCGATTAACATGAATTACATGAATTACATTGAATTAACATGAATTACAGTGAGATAAATGACGAAAAATGACAAATAAGGTACCTGCTGAGTTTAGTCCCTATTAAGTATGCGAAATTTACTGCAACACAGAACATTTTGAATAATTATCCATCCCACATGGAAAGCAAGCCATCTGTTGCATAAGCGAGTTCTGTTATCCATCTTTGATTGCTTCAAAACCTAGTGAAGGTCTATAATGCGACACTAAAACTGAGACCTTTGCTAGTGTTGGGATGTCTCAATGGTGACGACCGTGTTGTAAATCTGATACAACACTAGTGGTTGTATCAGATTTACAAGGTCAATCACCTGATTAAATGGTCAGCCCTTATTGGAGCAATAGCTTATGCATTATTAATAAGTCTTATAAAGAATATTACAATATGGCATAAATTTGTTTTATTTTTTCATTTAAAATGCCCATCGGCCACCGCTCACAATTGTTAGTGTCAATGGACGTCGAAGAGTATACTTATTGATTAACTAGCTTTAGCGAAGAAAAGAGTGTTTAATAAAGAACGCGCGCTTTTGTATCGCATTTTGCATTTTGTCCATCAAAACCCGACTTATAAGATGCAGGAATAAAGATGTTTCTTATTCATTTCATCAAATAGATATTTTATCGAGACAAGAACAGACTTACTAAGCTTCATTTTCTGGTATCGTTACTTTTCATTCACTGCTTATCTGTTAACTTAGCGAACAAAATAACCAAAGTTGAAAAACATGTTTCGTCTTTAATCGCCTTCTCAATTTCAACTGACAGTTGATGGTTTACTCGCGCAATATGTTGTACAGACGCGCGCGCTAGGCGCACGTGCTTGTGGAACACAAACACAATGTGGCATTAAATACGACTCTTAATTGGGGKTCTTGTACTCGTTTACTGAACTACAAACTCACTCACATGACTACTCAACATCACACCCAGCATGCTCGAGTCCATAGTCCTTTGCGGTAAACACTTGCATAATTTATGCTACAACAATTAACACTATATTAGCCCTGGGCATGTTATTACAAAGTTCCACTCTTTCTTATTATTGATTACTTTGGCTTRATCTTGAGTGCTGATCTTCACAGACTCCACGATCTGCCTCAACATGGTGTCTCCTTGATATATACCTGTTACGTTCATAGTAAAACTAGTYTTTGTTCCTTTATGTTTGTCTTTGCAATGCCTGTTTGTAACAGATGACTCAATTTTTATTCTTCATATCATTCAAGTGTTCTCTTCCTCTACTGTAAGCATTCCTACTGGTCTCGCCGATATACACATCACCACACGCTTTATATTTCAACTCGTAGGTAATATCGAGTAATAACAGCGGCTTTGCAATTACCTTTACCTTCAGTTCTGCAAACAAAGCAATCTTCCTTTTCGCAACTTATCAACTTCGTATCCTTAGAGGATTCGACCTTTGCAAATGCTTCTTTATACTCGTTCCGGTCTTCTCAACTATCTTGATCTTAATTCCACTATTCCTGACATCAGTCTCAASTCTGCGTTTCAACTCTGGKCCTTGTGTGGCAGGTACCATGATGACACTTTCGTAATTCCTTCTCTTGTAYCACGTCTTCCTTTTGTTCTCTTTCTCCTCCATTCTCTCTTTCCTTCTCCACTCCTTATTTCTATACAAGGGTCTCTCTCCTACGCGGTCGAGCTCTTGTAGGTGTCTTTTGGGTGGCATGGGTGGCCTAGTGGTTAAACTGCTCGCCTCTCACCGCTGTGGTTCGGGCTCGATTCCCGGACACGGACCATATTTGAGTTTGAGTTTGTTTGATGTGTTGYTCTCTCCCTTACCACGAGGGTTTCTCTCCGGGTCCTCCGGAKAGGAGGTTCACAAGTTTATCAGTTCTTTACTGGCACGTGTTTACCCTCTTAAAAACAAAGTTGATTTATTTATTATGTATTTATACGCCTTCAGTGCCGAGCTAACTACCTCGTGACGAAACCGAACGTGACGAGCTCGACYGCGTAGGAGAGATACCTTTGTACAACGTCTGTACAACATATTGTGCGAGTAAACCATCAACTGTCAGTTGAAATTGAGGTCATTAAAAACGAAATACATTTTTGAACTCTGTTGTTTTGTTCGCTACATGAACAGAAAAGCAGTGAATGAAAAATTACGATACCAGAAAATAAAGCTTATTTATTTCATATTGATTTTTGACTGCTGTTTCCCTTTTTTTCCCCTATTTGACTTGTCACCTCGTTTAACATTACGAAATAATGATATCATTTTAATTATTATTTTCTTGTGTTAGAATCCATGCCAAGAAAGCCCCTGTAGTGATGGTGGCAAGTGCGTCTTCCAGGAAAACAGGCAGCATTACCACTGTGAGTGCCGTGAGGGATTTGATGGAGAAAACTGCGAGAAAAAAGGTATGGATAGAACTATTTGTTTGGCTCGTGGGCGGGTTGTATTTTACGTATTACGTAAGA